CAGTTTCCTTCAGCATAGATTTCAGTATATCTCTAAGCGTATTTTATGAATGTCATCCAAACTTTGAAGTATACTTGAATTCAATATATGAAAACTTGAAAATTCAAGAACTGTGGTTGCTATAGCATCACAGTGGCCCAAAACAACGATTAAGCCTTTCAGCGATTGCTTCGTGATTTTTTAACTTGAGCAGAAAATTGTTTAACTAAATTCGTTTCTTACGACCATAACAGATATTTTAACCTAGCCGTATTCGATACCATCTCTCATAAAAGCAGAAATTTCAAAAGCCTGAATTTTAGGTAGGGGTGGCCTGGAACCTAGACTGTTCGTATGGCAACTTATCTCTATAGCTACTTCTGAAGAACAGTTAAAGTACTAGCAAATGTGAATTGGATTTTTATTGAAATTGGGCTCAGATATAGCTTATCATAATCTTAGGCTCCTCAATTATTGAGACTATTGCGTCATCAAGAAAAATGGCTGCCAATTTTAAAACTCCAATATCTTTTGAAGGAAAAAATATATTTGAAATAGGAAAGTTACATTTTATTWTCCTATCAAAGGTCTTTCATTCCAGGCAAGAAAAAGTGCAAGTCAGAAAATTGATCGCATAATGGCACTTTGTACTTTGTACAAYTGTACTGTACAATTCCTTTTTTCCCTCTAGATGTTTTTCCAGATCCAACTTCCATCGACCTCACTCAATTAGATGGTTCATCTGCTGTGTTGCAATGGTCCTTTGACCTTAACAGGACTGAACATGTTCATGTTAAGGCATATAACATTCTATATTATCGTTCTGATGTCCCGTCGCAAGTTAAACGAATGACCATGGTATCTCGTAATAATGGGAAACAAGGAGTACGCTTCAGTAACCTGAGTCCAAACACTCGTTATGTAATGAAAATTCGGGCTGTTAGTGTGGCTGGTGAAGGACCGTGGATTTCAAGAAGTCTGACAATTTTGCCTTATGGTTAGTGGACACGTGACAAAATATCGAGATATGTATTCTAACTTTCATACCTACCCTTTCTATCGGTTTTTTTCTTCTGTGAATTCGGATTCATATTTTCTCTCGCGCCGTTTTTTTAAATTTTAGACGTCGTTGTTTGAATAGTTGAATAAAATGTGATAATGATTATCCCTTATTTCAGTTCGTCCAGTGATAAACGTCAGGCCGACTGATCAAAMAGTTTTCGAGGWATCTACTGTCAGCTTACCATGTGARGCTTYAGGTTTTCCCGCGCCAAATATCACGTGGTTATTCAATGATGATCCAATCCCATGGGAGCATTCAATAAAGAACAATTCTTTGATCCTAAACAATGTTAAACATGGAAGACATGATGGTCGATATACTTGTGTAGCTACCAGCAAGGCCGGTACAGTGTTCACTTCTGCATCACTTCTCGTTCATGGTAAGAAAATATTTTTGGTTAATATTATCTTTAACATTTTTTTAAAATGAAAATTAACCTTGTGCACTAAAATTTTACATGATTCTACAACTTTAAATCGATCAGTTGTGTCAAATTGAACGCCAGAAACAGAGTGAGATTCTCGATATTAGTAAGAAAGTGAAGTGAAGTTTCAGTTTTTGCGTATGATATATTCTAGATCTTGTCTAAAATTTGCAGAGATTCCTCCTGCGCCATTATCGATAAACATCACCCAAAGTGGCCATACATCTGCTGTGATGCAGTGGTCCTCAGCCCACCAGAACAACAGCCGTAATCCTGTGAAATCCTACGAAATCTTATATTATCCTTCTGGTGTTCAGCCGCAAGTTAAACGAATGACCATGTTATCTCGTTATAATGGAAAACAAGGAGTACGCTTTAGTAACCTGAGTCCAAATACACGTTATAAAGTGAAACTTCGGGCTGTTAGTGTTTTTGGTGAAGGACCGTGGATTTCAAGAAGTCTGACAATTTTGCCTTATGGTTAGTGGACACATGTGCGCAATATCGAGATATTTAACCTAACTTTCATACCTACCCTTTCTATCGTTTTTTTATTTTTTTATCATTTTATACAACTTCTTTTTTCTTCTTTTTTTCTTCTTTTCTTTTTTGTTTTCATTATTTCCTTTTGTTTTCCTTCTCATCAATTTACATTWAAAATTTTAATTCATTCATCCATTTCAAGGTCTATTTTTATTTTAAAAAGTGACACGCCGACTTATGGCCTCTTAGTCATAATCCTTTATTGCTTTTGGTTATAGTTGGTCCAGTGAACAACATCAAACCTACTGATCAAAGAAAGCAACAAGGATCTGATGTCATCTTTCGACTCAAAACTACAGGGTTCCCATCACCAGCTATCAAGTGGCTATTCAACGATGGGCCCATCCCATGGAATCATTCTATTGATAGCTTTGGGTCTTTAATCATAAAGGATGTTAGACGTGGAAAGCATGATGGCCGATATACTTTTGTGGCTACCAATGATGTTGGGTCTATTTCTACTTCTGCAACACTTTTTGTTTATGGTAAGAATGTAAGATTCGTAGTGCTAGTAAATTTAACCCAAAT